AAAAAAGTAAATTCAATTAGAAAAAATAATCAGAACCTGAGAACATAGATAGATTGCATATTAACGGAGAAGTTAAAGATACTGCTTTAGCTAACGTATTTAATGATTACTTTGTAAATCTAGTTTCTCTAGCTTACAATGATAAGGCTTGCGAGTATATTAAATATAGAAACTTAAATTCAATATTCTTGGATCCCGTTAGCGATTCCGAGGTCTTTAATGTATTTATGAACTTAAATAATACATGCAAAATTAGACCCGTAAAATATGTATTAGACTTAGTCGTGCATTGTTAAACTTATATATTTAACTTGTGTTTATCTGAAGGTATATTTCCAAAACCTATGCAGATTGCCAAAGTTTCTGTACTGCATAAGAAAGGTGATAAGAATTACATTAATAACTATAGACCGGTTTCAACACTTGCCGTGTTATCAAAAGGGCTTGAAAAACTTATTCATGTAAGATTGTCAAACGTTTTCGACCAGTATCAACTCATTACAAGGTCGCAGTTTGGATTCCAAAAACATTGTTCTACGGAACTTGCCTTACTTGAAGAAAAAGAATTTATCTTACGCAACTTAGAGGACAAGAAACTTGTTTTGGGGGTTTATATTGATTTTACTAAAGCTTTCGAGTATTTAAACCACGAATTATTATTACAAAAACTCGAATTTTATGGCGTTCGGGGGCAAGCCTTGCATCTACTACGGTCCTATCTCGAAAATCGGAAACAATATGTGTGTTGCGGTAACTTTTGTTCCAGTATAAAACAAATTTTCTCAGGGGTACCACAGGGAAGTATTTTAGGGCCATTTCTTTTTAATGTCTATGTAAATGATATAGTAAATATTGACCAGTCTATTAAAATTATAATGTATGCAGACGATACAACACTTCTTTATGCTGCTGATAATGCAGAAGAGCTCGTGTCAAAAATTAACTTAGTATTAGATAAAATATCATCATGGACCGACAGGAACGCTCTAAAAATAAATGCTAGCAAAACTAAAGCTGTTATATTTCGGACAAAACATAAAGTTATTCCATCAATATGTAGGATAACCTTAAACTCGGTTGACATCGAATTGGTAGAGAATTTTAAAACACTTGGTGTGGTATTTTTTCATAATATGACCTGGGACCATCATATTGCGTATCTAAATTAAAAGCTATCTAAGGTTGTAGGGCTGATATGCCGGCACCAGTATATACTTCCATCATCAATTAAACTCTTGTTATATAAATCGTTATTTTATTGTCATTTGAATTACTGTTCTTTAGTCTGGAGCACAACTACAATAACAAACTTGGAGTAAGTACACTTAATTAAAAAAAGAATGCTAAGAACTATTGCAAACGCACCATATTTGTCGCATACAGAAAACTTATTCAAAATTTATAATATACTTAGTATCAAAAATATTTATAGCTATAGACTATCCACAAGGCTTAAAAAAAATTGCAGCATAACACCTCTTCCTTGGTAACATTGTCAAATTTACAAAAACATGTTTTAACGTATCAAACTCGTAACGCCGATTATTGGCAAATACCAACGTGTCGATTGAATGTTGGCAAAGAAATGTTAGCCTACCGAGTCCCAAGACTTCTCAATTCACTAATTTTACACAGTATTGATATAGGTAAATTGAGTTTAAATGAATTACGTACTGTCATGTATAGCTTTGATGTAGTCTACTGCTATTTGGTTTTGTATATCTTCGATGTTCTATCTCTATGTTCTCGTTAAGTTGTTAATAATTCCTTCTCATGTCCATGTATTTGTATCTATTATGTAAACGTAGATTTTGTACATTGATATGCTTTGAAGATTAACAAGGTAATTGATATCTGTTAAATGTGCTTATTCTTTGTCTGAATGCCTTTGTATATTATTTTGTTCCCTCTGACTGCTGCTGAATGTAACTGGGGCCGAGAGCCTGTCAAGCCGTCTATCGCGGCTTTTATTCTCGGCCCCATCATTACCTGTAATGGGAAATGAAAATAAAGGTTATTATTATTATTATTTTTATTATTATTATTGTCGCCTCATTCAGAGGTGCAGCAGCACACGCAAGAGCATGCAAGAGTTTTACGTTGCTTGGGGGTGCTGAAACTTTGAGAGCGGACTGAGCTCGCGCCCACAGGACCCACGATTCAAAAGTGACTTCTACAATAAGTCCCTAATGTAGTAGCTATGATGCTTCCCCGTAGCCATCGACAAAAGGAGCCCGAATATGCAGTTTATATTTTTTTAAAGATACTTTAAATTTGAGAATTAAGCTCACATTGCTTACCGCCAATTTTGTTTCCCGATGTTTACAAGAGAAAGCGAGTAAGCGGCAAAAGATATGAGGTAAAACGAGGCAGATAATCCTAGCACCTATTGTGTACTGACTTGAACGCAGAATTGAAGATAAATTGACGGCTGTACTCTAGTTTTATTATATATTATCAAAATTCTGTAGTTAGCTTACAAAAAGTATAATTGTTTTTTAAGGAGCTCTGAAAATGAGACACTAGAACATTCCTGCGTCGACCAATAAGAGTGTGTTGTCAATGTTAGATTTAGAAAGTGAAAGCAACATAAACAAGACCAGGCCAGAATACCACACAAAGGCAAATACCTGAAAAATATATGGTCGAAATTCAAACTTATTTACATTTTTTCCCAGTGAGAAAAATTAATATTTACGACCCTTCTCTGGCGCAGAGGTTCTTTATATATAAAGTATAACTGCTTATAAACAACAAACAAAACGAAAAAAAATCATGCAGAAAAACCTATTTGTATAGTCACCCAAAACTCGGTTCAAAATTATCATTCTGTGGTGAGACAAAAAAAGTAAAAAAAAAAAAAAAGACAACAGTACTGGCGCAAATGTGAGTCGAGGAGGTGCGAAGTATGAGGGGGCTTTTGACGCTCATGCTGGAATTACGATTCTACCGCTTTGACGGCAGCGGTATATGGGCACAGACATAACAAAAGGTGTCTCGGCGTGTAGTAAAAGAATTTTGTTGTTCGACCCGCTCAGAACGTTTAGGAACAGATGAGCTGTGGCCATTATCGCGTCCCGCTTTGTTTTTTTATACAGCTTGACCTAGTGTTGCGGTGTGGCATTGCATGCCGCGTCATTGACTTCATTCGCACGAATTAACACAGCCGCGGCATGCTTCCAGCAGTCGGTAACTCCGATTTTTTAAGAGCGCTTGCCCGAGTTCAAGCAGTCTGTGCAACAGCGCAGCTGTGCGCGAAAAGACAATTTGAACTACATGTGGCATCCTCAGCTTTGTCCGAGCAGCTCGAACTTTGAAAAGCGAGCGAAACCATAAAGAAAAACAGCATTTATCTTGATGCAGGTGACATAACCGACGCTGTCTTGCACTTGCGAGCGAGACGCACTTCGTTGTCGACAAATGTTCTGATGCCTGAATTATCTCCTATACACTCCAAAGAACTAGCGCACGGGCAACCTCTTTCTGCGGAGGTAAACCTCCCTGAACAAACTAACCATCGTTTTTCAACAGGCAGATAGCCTCAATAATTTTGCAACGCGACCGCGGTAGAACTTTAACGTGTTCGTTGCCATTGCAACCGGAGCCGTACTGCTATGGAGGGCGGTTCCTCGCCAGGGCGCGGCGCCGCTAGTATTGCTCCGGCGGGCCCTCTGGCCAGCCGAACATGACTTTAAATAATTCCTGCACGCAACATTGCGCGCGTTGCATTATAGGACCGCTTTGGCCATGAAAAAGAGTGGAGTGGCTTCGGTTTTGATCACCCCGTTGACGAAGTACTGAATCTCAGCACTGCATGGAAATAACGTTAGCGCTCGCTTGCATCGTACCCATTCATCTTCGTGAGAACCCCCGTTGAAACACGGACCTTCAGAGGCCGTAAAGACCTGCCTAGACTTAGAGAGGAGTAGGAATATGGCCGGCAGCGCCCCATTCCCTTCTGGAGGCCTGGCCACCACTCCAAAGTGCAGTATGACACTCCCAGCTCACGGATAAGAGAAGCTTAGGACATTGAGGAGATAATGAAACAAGATGATCGAGTCAGTGTTTACTCCCCTTCCGTCTACTATTGCAGTACTCCGTTTACTTGTGTACAAACTCTGGCACGTCGCGTGCCCCCAAAAAGGTGTCCCAGCTTTCTATCCATATTGGTAGGCAACACCAAAGGCATTATAAATTTAAGAAAAGTCACATAATCAGAAATGCAAGCGCGGTATTTGGTCGTGACTGGATGCGGTGAAGTGAGCTTGGAGAATAGAAACGGTACCTTTTGCTAATGGGACCCCAAGATGCTTTGCGCGGCACTACGCCGCTAGGATCGCTTCAATCTCGCAAAAGGTCTAATCAATGCCGTGTAGGCGTCACGTGACGTTAGGGTGGGGCACAGCCACGCGCGGGTCGCTCAGTCACGTTATAAGCTCATAGCACTGGATTGGCTCGGATGGCTTCTAAAGACCGCGCCGGTTCATCAGGAAATGCAACGGAGGATAGTTACGGATTACCAGCGTCCTACACGTTCTTCCAAAACAGGAACGAAAGCTCGTTCCTCGTTCCTGCTCAATCTTGGAACGAGTTCCCGTTACAGGCACCGCGGTGGTTCGAAAGGAACGCCTTCCCGTAACATTTCTAAGACAAGAACGTTCCGTTACATTAACGTTACTTTTGCGCCTTTTGAATGAAACATCGTGCTGGGTAACGCGTTAATAGAATCAAACGAGCAAGCTAAAACATCCACATCGCAGTAGGTGTCGAGTCGTCACGATCACATTTGTTCCAGTTCTTTGCTTTCGACTATCTCTCGGACTTTCCCATCTATAGAAGTCGAAGGTTGAAATAGTAGATATTAAAAATCCTGACTGCCTATTTAATTGGAGTAAAATTTCAAATAAAGGGGCAAAAAATAATAAAGGAACGCCGTTCCTTGGAAGGTTGTTTCGTCCAACAACGTGAATGACCATAAGCGATACTGCTTGTTGTCTCACCTCGAGGTATGCGGCGGAACAATTCTGGGACTCCGTGAAGCTAAAGTCTTGGAACTCGATTCGGGGCAGGTAGCCCGTCTTGACGCGAATGATCCAGATGCAGGTCACACCGCCGTCCACGTTCGCCAGATCCCTGGGGGACACGAGTGAGCCCTCGCTGGCTTCGTACAGGCCTCCGCAGGCTGAAGAGAAACGGCAGAAAGTTGAGTTCCGGCATGAGCCCATACATTGCTAAACTGGGGGCCCTAACCTGGACACTTGGCGAGGAAGTCAGCGAGAAATCCAGCGGCTATGATTGGCCGGCTCCAAGGTCAAGTGCGGCTTTGGCCAATCATGGCCGCGGGATTTCTCGCCGATTTTTCCCCCAAGTGTCCAGATTAGGGCTGTGCCCACACACTCCGACAACAGCCCGTCAAGCATACCAAAGATACATCGTCACTGCGCTCGTCATGTTTGGACGTTTGCTATCGGCGGCTAAACAAACCGCACACAGAGAAAAGCGCAAAATCATGCACTGTTGATACTTAGAGAGTCGGTGCAATGATACTCAGTTTGATGTTTTTTTCTTTACACGAGCTTACTCTATTACTGGGACCGAAGTCTACTCGCGTGCAACGCTACATACCAAGAAACGTTTTTGCCGCGGTGTGACTTCAAAGATGAAAGCAAGCGTTTTCTTTCAATCTCTCCGCAAAATTTGATGGCGTAGCTCGGTGATCCCCGTGTTGTCATAGTACCCCGACTGACGATATTTAAATGCGGCTCACATCAGACCCGAGCAGAGCGTGAGCATTCAATTTGGGCTCATGATATACAGAATATCTCGACAGGCATTCGGATAGTGGCTTGTGTCCAGTGTGCCTCCGAGCACGCGTAAAATCGTGCCTCGCATATTCGTCCTCCGCGAAATAACAGGACGCAGGGCCCTTTGACACTTTGGAATCAAATAAATATAGTTGTTACAGTCGTTCAGCAATGCATTCGGTTCCCTACTCGCGCCGTCACCGTCGGCCTGCTACAATTCGACGTCGTCCTCGTCCTCGTCGATCGTCATCACCGCCAACGCTGGTTCGTCCGGCTTGGTCTAGTTGCCGCGTTGACGTTGGCAAACGATATTCTAGCAATGTCGTGGATGGAGCTGCCTCCAGAGCTGCGTTCGCGTGTGCGTCTATTGACATTCGGTGAGACTACACCAGACGGACTGTATCATGGAGGTAGGATGCTTCTGGAGGCGACATGACGCCACCAGAGGTGAAGTAGGGGAAACTCTCGGTTTTGAGGGATACGCCCTAAACAATGACCAAACCAAGATGCGCTATTGAACAAAAAGAAAAGCTCACTTGGCACCTACAGCTGTTTCGGTCACCCTTGGGGGTGTTCCCACGACCTCTACTTCCGGCTTCACTTGGGATTTTCTCGTTTTGCTGGCTCGAGCCGGTGTGGCAAGATCAGGTACGTGCTTCGGCTCTGTCGTCGTGCTTTTCAATGGGCGAAACGTGAACACAAAGAGTTCGAAATAAGGATTTAACGCATATGACTGTTTTTGTACGGCGCCTAATATATAGACGAGCCTTGCAGAAAAATCATGCTTTTAGCTCAGAATATAGATTGTATTTAATGTTTTTATGACAACATGGGGCTATACTACCGATATGTTTCCTCCCGTCTTGATCATCAACATAAGGTGGGCATTCCTAACTCTATCATGACCAAGTTTTATTCATCTTTCGTTCCCCGTACATCCCAGCAGTGGAACCACCTTCCCCGGTCGATCGCCATTATCACGGACTCTGAGCTCTCTAAAAGTACAGTTACTAATTACTTTATTAATAAGTGTGTCTAATATGTATTATCTTATTGTTGTTGCTACTCCCTCTGTTATGCCTTCGGGCCCTGAGGGTATAATAAATTAAATGAAATGAAATGAAATAGCAAAACTATGCTTGTTTCATAGGTTATAAACGTCAGGAATTCATTCTAAACAATATTTAAACAAAGTAAAAAAAAAGGGTTGCGCGGATTGATTAGAATAAAGTCGACTCAAAACAATTATTTAAACAAAAATGGGCACACATTCCCATTAGTGTGTAGGCTGGTGCTGCCCCAGGGCCTGACGTCTCACCCGATGAGGCTGAGCTTTATGTCTGTCCCTGGGACACTCTTGCGGACTCTTTTGTCCACCTCGTCAATCACTTCTTGGAGGCTGACACTGTCCCATCGTGTCCTTTGAATGCGATCGACTGGTGCTCCAAAGGAAGGAGGCGTGCCTCTGGCCCTTCGGCGTGGCGACCGAATTTCTTGTTAAAAGTCAATTATAAGATGATTGCGTCTTTGCTCGTCAAGCGCCTTCGCTTCGTCCTACCAGAAGTCGTTAGTCCGGTGGAGGCGTGCTCTGTACCCGGGCGAAATATATTTTCTTCATTGTCCCTAAATAGAGGTATTTTTGCGTGTGCGAACTTCACCGGCTTGTGGGGGACCTTTGCCTCCCTCGACTAGGCAAAGGCTTTTGATCGGGTTGAACACTTCTTTCTATTCAAGATTTTGCGAGCCTTTGGCTTCCCAGAGTCTTTCACCTCCTTGCTTCAGTCACTGTAGTGTGATCTGTCCAGCGACCTTCAAGCGAACGGAGGAATCCTGGCGCCGTTTCCAGTCGCCCGAGGAGTCCGGAAGAGCTGCACTCATCCCCCCTTTTGTACGTCCTCAGCCTGGATTCGTTACTTCGACGCCTTGCGACTTGACCCCCAAATACGTGGATTTCCACTGCCCGGCCGAGGCACCGTCGCTGTTGCTACGTACGCTGATGACGTCTGCTTGTTCCTTCGAGACTCCGGGAGCTTCGATGCTGCTGCGCATCTTTTTCATAAATACGGTGCCCTCTCCTTAGCTCCTTTAAACACTTCGAAGAGACGAGCCCTAAGGTTCGGAGGCACTCCTCCAACCCCGCCGGTAAGCCTTCAGGTCGTGTCCCAAGTTCGTGATCTAGGCGTCGTCTTTGACTGTCGGGGAGAGGCGCCGCGCACGTGGGGAGTAATTCTCCCCGCGTTGGGAGCGTCAGGTTGCTGCCGCGGAAGCCTTCGAACTCTTTCTCCGCGACAGAGCATACTTGGTGAAGGTAGTTTTTTTTTGTGGGCAACTGTATTTGGTCTCCCACGTTGCTCTCCTTCCACCACGGATCGCTCGGCGCATCACCTCCGGCCTCTTGTGGTTCTATACTGGAGGGAGGGCACGGAGCTGGTGACCCGGGGCGGTGCTCCGCCTTCCGACGTCTCTTGGGGGCAGAGCTATGCCCTGTGTCAAGACTGCGTCCCATCTTCTGGCCCTCCGCACCATTCTGGGTTGCTAAACGAGCCGGAACACCCGGCTCCCTTCCCGGCGCTCTATTTCTTGGGGCCCTCGCGTCGGGTGCTTGTTCCCCACGCTCTGGGTAACCCCTACCTGAGCGCGGAGACGACTCCCCAGTTTTATCGGGCGGCAGTGCGGCTCTCTGAAGAATTAAGACCCTCGTTGCCGGACCTCCCTGTACGTGATGTTCCACCTGCCCGAGTCGTGGAGCAACTCTGCGCAGCTCGCATCACAGCCGAGGACAGCGCAGGAGTCACCGCGTTTCCATGGTCTTCATTCGTGTCCCGACATCTCCCTGTGTCTGTGGACGATTTTCGGTGCAGCCGCGGTTGAAAAGTTCTGCCCACGAAGCATCGCCTCCATCTCTGGAGCATGGTGCCCAACCCGAAGTGCCCCAACTGTGGGCAGATGGAAACTAACCCGCACGTCTTTCGGGACTGCTCGGTGGCGCGCTCCTTCTGGGGCCTAATACATCATGGCCTTCGAACGCTGGGCATAAGGAACTATGTCAGCCACAGCCGGAACCCACGTTGCGGTTTTGCGTTGCTGTTCCTGGCCATCGGACAGCACGCACTATGGCAAAATCGATGTGTTGCGGTGTGCCAGGACCGGCGCATCCGAGCCATGTGGCCGCTCATCTCCCGATTGGGCGGAGCTTTGTACCGGCACCTCGATTCAGAGCTCTTCTCGGCGAGGGAAAAAAAATTTCTCCGGCGATGGTCGTGATGTTACGTCCGACTTGACCATGGCCGAGTCGTCTTGGTTTTCGCGCCCCTTACACAAGCCTGAGTGACATTCTATGAGATAAACGCACAGAGGGCTAGAATGGCCATCGGCCATTCTAGCTCTCTGTGCGTTTGTCTCGCTGTCTTTGGAGAACTCCCCTTTTGTTTGTTTGTTTTGTTTTGCCTTGTAGGATAAGGGCTAAAGAGATCTAGTCTCTTCCGGATAGCAGATCATGGCCCCTTCGAGAAGTGTCAGTTTTCTCTGTTTCCGTTTAATGTAAAGTGTCTTGTTTTATCACAGTGACGAAGTCCAACCACTGCGCTTTGCGCAGAATGTGGATAAAATAAAATTTTCTATCGAACCGATCATTTTGAGAGGTTTTGTCGTCTGTTTGTTGGTATATGTTTGTGTCCGGCTAGCAGGCAGGAAGACAAGGGCGCTACATTATTCGAAGAAGCACACTCAATATTTAATATTGAAAAAAAAAAAAAAATGAAACCCACTTTTTGTGGCTTTTAAATAGCTGCTAACACGTTAATTAAAAAAAGTTGCACAGAGTGCCGGAAGCACTCTGTGCATTCTCTGCGTAATTCTCAATATGGTTTCGTATCGCGAAAGTCGCGGGCTGGACTGCTGGACGAAGCGGAATAATCGGTGGTGGCGGACGACGGACGTGGGACCTCTAGCTCAGAACTCTCGTTCGCGGTAACGGCGAATATGTTTAGCTTCGAGATATACATTTTTACCGATTAAAACAACTAGGATTTATTCCGTGCGACACGCCCGACCACCGAGCTGATTCGCACGAGGACATCCCCGAGTCGTAGCCCCTCTTCCTGGTTGAAGACATCGCTCGTCTTACGAAAACGAATTGGTAAGAGCTTGATAAATGTGCAAACGTCAAGCACGAAATGCGCACTTGGTGTTGAATATGCATGCGAACGATTTGTTTACTAGGTACTAATGTGGCCAATGTGTGGTGCTGCGCGATTTCGAGACTGGGGAGTGCTTTTGCAGCAGGGAATCGGCAGCAAACTTTCTGATCTACAGTCGACTGGCTGCATTATTGCGAACGAGGAGTTCCACCTCGTGTGCTTGACCGTTACATTGTTAA